GGCCCTGCTAGGAGTTGAGAACTGCTCATTTTCAGGATCAACAGAACAAGCCTGTCCCTTACAGCAAGGTGGCAATCCACAGAAAGATAAAGACAGATTTTTAATTGGTAAAGGATTCAAGGGTTATGGGGAAGAGGCAGGAAAGTGGAGTTGAGGATTATCACATCAGCCATGATCTTATTGAATGGCTGAGCAGATTTGATGGGCTGAATGGTTTACTTCTACTCCTATGTCTTACAATCTTTTGAAGGTGACTCACTCACTCAACATTATACTGATGGCCTAGATTACAGGCACATTTCTGAAATGGGTTTGATGGAGCTCCAACTCCTTTTATCTCAACATTCAATTAAGTTACTTCTTTTCTTGGTTGAACTTCTTTTGGTGATCCCTAGACTTGGACTTCCACTTTCCAACTACCAAAACTGGGCTATTGTATGTCTTCCATCTGATTTGATCAGCACTCACATGGCATTAAAAGCAGGGCAAATATAATTTTATTATCACCTTGCAAGTAAAATTTCACTTGGAGAATGCTGTGGCATTATACCTGATAGGCTGATTGTATAATAACTCATTGTATGTATCTAAGATGTTCTCCTGTTTGACATGGACCTAAAATGCAAGCTATTACTATATCCTCCAATGCCAGAAGTAATGTAATGTCAAACAACAATGCAACAGATTTTTCACTGCATATAAAGAGTCTTATTTTGATGATACTTGTGAGCAATTCAATGAGCAGAAACCAGGATAATGTTACAACCCCAAGTCAATTCACTTTAAATGTGTTGTCAGATAAACCAGTTTGCCGACATCCACAATATTTTGCTTTTATTTAGATATATTGTATTCTATTCTAGTCACAGATTAATTCAGCCTTTCTTTCATTCATAAGCTGTGACTGTTGCTGACAAGAGCAGCATTATTTCCCATCTTTGGTAACCCTTGAGAAAGGTCGTGGTGAGCTGCCTTATTGAACTTCCACAATCTGCATGGTGGAGATACACCCACAATGCTTTTAAAGAGGGTGTTGCATCCTTTTGACCCAAAGACAGTGAACAAGCTACAGTTTAGTTCCATATCATGTGTGACTTATCGGGGATCTTGCAGGTGGTGATGTTTAAATGCACCTGGTTCCCTTGTCCTTTGAGGTGGTAGAGCTCATGGGCTTAGAGCAGAGAAGCCTCACTGTATTGTTGCAATGCATCTTGTAGCTGGTATGTACTGCTGCCAGTGTGTACTGAAGGTGGAGGGAGTAAATGCTTAAGGTGGTTGATGAAGTGCTATTCGAGCAGGTCGGGTTCTGGACTGCGTCGAATTTCTTGAGTGTTGTTGACACTTCACTCATTCATTCAAATGGAGAGTATTCCATCACACACCTGACTGTGCCCTGTAGATGGTGGAATGGCTTTGATGAGCCAGAGGGTGAGTTAAATGCTGAGAATTACCAGCCTGTGACCTGCTCTTGTAGTCACAGTATTCGTTTAGCTGGTCCCGTCCAGCTGCCCGATGGGAAGCCAAGCCTGTCAGTCGGGTGGCTTACAGGTGGAAAATCTTCTTTCAAGTAAAAACAAAACATACATTACATAGAATTAAAACTGCACAAAATTCAGAGACCAAAACAACTCTTCTCCTCTATGTGCTGGCTTGGAAATCCTGCCACAGTAAGTACCTGGATCTTGGTAATCTGGAATAGCTGTTGAGATCTAGGAGAAGACAGGATGTCAATATGTTTAGGCACGAAATGAAGTCCATGAGAATATAATGAACCAACACAAACTTGTTTCAGACTTAACCCAAAGGTCTTAAGCACTTTGACCCTAAGCACATTTAATGAGGGGTTACATCTGGCTTCTTTTATAGTCATAGATTCAAACAGCACAGAAACAGACCCTTCAGTCCAGCTCATCTGTGCTGATCAGACAACACAATCTGACCTAGACCCATTTGCCAGCATTTGGCCCATACTCCTCTAAACCCTTCTTATTCAGATGCCTTTTAAATGTTGTAAATGTACCTGCCTCCACCACTTCCTCTGGTAGCTCTTTCCAGACACGCACCACCCACTGCATGAAAAAATTACCCCTCAGGTCCTTTTTAAATCTTTCCACTCTCAGCTTAAACCCATGCCCTCTAGTTTTGGACTCTCCTAACCTAGAACAAGGACCTTGGCTATTCACCCTATCCATGCCCCTCATGATTTTATAAGCCTCTATAAGGTCACCCCATAGCCTCCAACGTTCCAGGGAAAAATATCCCCAGCCTATTCAGCCTCTCCCTATAATTTAAACCCTCCAGTCCTGGCAATGTCCTTGTAAATCTAGTTTGCACCTCTCAAGTTTAACAATATCTTTGCTATAGAAGGGCGACCAGTATTCTAAAAGTGGTCTCACTGTTTTGCAACAATGCTATTGATATGGCATGTTAAGTTGGCCAGTTAAGCTTCTGAGTTGACAAGAACTGCAGATGCTGGAGTCAGAGACAACACAGTGTGGAGCTGAAGGAACACAGCAGACTAGGCAGCATCAGAGGGGTAGGAAAGTTAAGTTTCTGATCATTGGTAACCCTGAAGATGGTGATAGTGAGGATCTCGGCAATGGTAGCACTCTTTAGGTTAAGGGTTTAAATACATCTAGCAGAATATTTGCTGAAACTGCAGATACTACCTGGTTTGCAAGGGGGAGGGGGTCAATATTAAAATGAGATGACCTTGGCTGATTTTGATACTCGGTGTAATGCAGTTGGCCACCAGTGTCTTTTAAGCAGATGGCAAAACTCTATAACTGCCTCCATGCTGATCCAGAATCTGTGGGAGCTTTTTGTCATTGATCATTGCCAGGTAGGTTTGGATTTAACCTACCACAGAATTTCATGTCTTACCCTGATGCTTCATTGTAGCTCAATTTCTGTGAAAGTTTCTATTGTAAAAGATCCTTATTTTCCACGTTACCTATGTTGTAAATATTTCAAGTGTTTTTGATAAATTAGCAAAGCTCAAGGAGAGATGGAGACTATTGATCAGTATTGTGACTGACTGATAAAGCTAGCTGAATTCTGAAAGTCTGGATAATTAAAAGATGATCTCATCAGAGATGGTGAATCATCATCATCTGAAGAGGACAAATAAATCTAAGAGCTCAATGTAATGGGAGGAGTGAAGATCTCAAGTTCCAGATTATAGATAATAAGCACAATCCACTCATCTCAACTGAAACAAGAGATTGTCTCATGCATAAGAGATCCTGCAGTATGAGCATGACAGCTCAGAGAGTAGGAAATTACTCTTGTGCAGAAGCTTTGAAATTGTGAATCATTGACTAGAGCATATTAATAGGAGAACAGATGAGGCTTTGTATAATCATCGAGCCATAGAGATATACAGCACGGAAACAGACCCTTTGGTCCAACTCGTCCACGCCGAACAGATATCCTATATAAATCTAGTCCCATTTGCCAGCGTTTGGCCCATATCCCTCTAAGCCCTTCCTATTCATACCCCCATCCAGATAACTTTTAAATGTTGTAATTGTACCAGCCTCCATCACTTCCTCTGGCAGCTCATTCCATACACACACCACCCTCTGCATGAAAAAGTTGCCCCTTAGGTCCTTTTTATATCTTTCCCCTCTCACCTTAAACCTATGCCCTCGAGTTTTGGACACCCCCCACGGGGAAAAAACCCTGCCTATTTATCCTATCGGTGCCCTTCATGATTTTATAAACCTCTATAAGGTTGCCCCTCGGCTCCGATGCTCCAGGGAAAATAGCCACAGCCTATTCAGCCTCTCCCTACAGCTCAAACCCTCCAGCCCTGGCAACATCCTTGTAAATCTTTTATGAACCCTTTCTAGTTTCACAACATCCTTCGTATAGGGGGGAGACAAAAATTGCACAAAGTACTCAAAAAGTGGCCTAACCAATGTCCTGTACAGCCGCAACATGACCGACCAACAAAGGCAAACATATCAAATGCCTCCTTCACTATCGTATCTACCTGTGACTCCGCTTTCAAGGAACATTGAACCTGCACTCCAAGGTCTCTTTGTTCAGCAACACTCCCCAGGACCTTACCATTAAGTGTATAAGTCCTGCCTGATTTGCCTTTCCAAAATACAGCACCCCACTGTTATCTAAATTAAACTCTATCTGCCACTCCTCGGCCCATTGGCCCATCTAATCAAGATCCCATTGTACTTTGAGGTAAGGTAACCATCTTCACTGTCTACTACACTTCCAATTTTTGTGTCATTTACAGTTTTACTAACCATACCTCCAATGTTCACATCCAAATCATTTATATCAATGACAAAAAAGCTGTGGACCCAGCACCGATCCTTGTGGCACACCGCTGGTGACAGGCCTCCAGTCTCCACCCTCTGCCTTCTACCTTCGAGCCAGTTCTGAATTCAAATAGCTATTTCTCCCTATATTCCATGTGATCTAACCTTGCTAATCTGTCTACCATGAGGAGCCTTGTCGAATGTCTTACTGATGTCCATATATAATGCAGGGACATTTCAGGCAGGATGAAAGAAAAAAGTACAGATTAGGGAAAAGGCAGAAATATTCGCAGAAGAGCCAAAGGACAAACAATACACAAAGTCAATTAGAGATTCAGAAGTATATTTATGAGGTTGAAATCCAACCTTGCAATTGTATTGCCTGTACAGGGTTAATATATATAGCCAGTTGATTTGTGTAAAATCCTTCTAGGAATTAGTTGCACAATATTTGCTTTTAGTTATTATTATTTAGATTTATGTCCTCTGTGTATTCTATCTCTTTGAGGCACAATTTATTTAGTAGTTTTTCTTTAAGTAAAAATTATTTTGCAAGCTCCTTATCGTAATGGCAATGCATCTTCAACAGGCATGTCTTTTAATTGTACAAATTGTACACCTACACATTTTCTGCCTTCTTCTCCTCCTGTTCCCCACATGTGCTCCAACTTCTTGAAATTACCACAGTGTTGTACTAATGCTTTTTTTTTGTTCTAGGATTATGATGCTTTCTTTGAATCAAAGGAAAACAATACAGTGTCCACATTTTTTGGTTTAAAACCAAAATCACCGTCACAGGTAAATATATTCCTTTTGCTTTCCAGTCAGTTTGCATTGTTTTCATTCTTACCTTATGGTGAGGGCTGGTGTTGCATTCTCCATTGCTATTGATAACACATCCATGCAAATGATGATTTGCAGCAGGATTATGAAAATTAATGCACTGCTATGATAACTTATCTGCATGCAAAATGAATGGTCAGACCGCAAGCCGGAACTTCCTTACTGGACTATTAATTGGCACTTGGAAAATCGTGGGCTAGTAAGACCAAGACCTAGATTTGTTAAAGGCATATCGTGCTTGACTAATTATATTGAGATGTTTGGTAAAGTGACAAAGATGTTTGGAGGGGGTAGGGCGGTTGTTGCTATGTACATGAACTTCTGAAAGGCATTTGACAAAAATACAACATAGTAATAGGCTAGGCTAACAAAATTAAAGCCCGAAGGATTAACGAGACAGCTGTAGTGTGGATACAAAATTTAGTAAAGGAGAGAAAGCATAGAATAATACCATAACACACAGGAGCAGAGGTAGGCTATTTGCCCCATCAATGAGATGATGGCTGATCTGATAATCCTCAACTCCACTTCCTGCCTTTTCCCCATTATTTTTGTTCCTCTCATTGATTAAGAATCTATCTTTCTTAGTCTTGAATATACAAAATGACCCAGCCTCAACAGGACTTCTGTGGTCAGTAATTACTCTCTGTGAGTAAAAAATATCCTCCTCATCTCTGTCTTAAAAGAGAGACTTCTTGCTCTGAGATTGTGCCGTCTAGTCCTACACTCTCCAGCAGGGGAAATAAACTTACTGCATATACCCTATCAATCCCCTCACTAAGAATCTTACATGTTTCAATAACGTCTCCTCCTTTGCTTCTGAACTCCAATGAGTACAACCTCAGCCTACTCAACCTCGCCTAATAAGAAAAAACCTGTGGGTGAATCTAGCAAACCTTCTCTGGATTGCCTCCAATGCCAGTACATCTTTCCTTAGAGAAGAGGATCAAAAGTATTACAGTGTGGTCTGAACAGTGCCTTGCATATTTTTGGCAAGACGTCTGTATTTTTATAGTATTTCACTTTGAAATAAATACTAAAATTTCACCTGCCTTCCTATCACCCGCTAAGTTTGAATGCTAGCTTTTCGTGATTCATGGATGACGACCCCCACATCTCTCTATGCTGCACCTTTCTGCAGTCTTTTCCCATTTAAATAATATTCAGCTCCTCTATTCTTCCTGCCAAGTACATAACCTTACATTTTACGACATTATATTCCATCTGTCAAATTTTGACCCACTCACTTAACCTGACCATGGTTTCATTCTCACTCTTACCTTCCCCCCTATTTTTGTATCATTGCAAACCTGGTCATTGTGCATTCACTTTCATTGTCCACCCCAAGAAGCCCCCGTAGAGAGAGAAGGAGATAGGGTTGGCAACCTGGTTCAGACCAGTGATTTTTGTCAGAATTGGGCATTGCTCAGGTGTGCCCAGCAAAGGTTACAGTTCTGTTTAGTTCTGAAGAAGGGTCACAGGATTCAAAATGTTAACTCTGTTTTTTCTCCACAAATGCTATCAGACCTGCTTTGTTTCTCCAGCAATTTCTGTTTTTGTTTGAGACCTTCAGCATCCACAGTTCTTTGTTTTATTTTATTATTCACAATGTAGCATATTACTTTTCCCCATTCCCTAGCACTATCAGAATTGCTGAATGGAGAATTTAAAGTGAGCACAAATGCATTAAGTGGCTAGAATTTTAGCATCAATAGAAATGAAAAAGAGACATATATAACTAATGTTTTATTTGATATTGACTGATTTACATTTATTGCCTAAAATCAAAATGAGCTCCTGTGTTTGTGTTGAAGCAGTTATATTGTCTGACTGGGCAGTCATGAAACTGCAGTAGTAACTCTTTGTTTTGCGATCATGTCACTGGAGAGGCTGTAAAGACAGTGATGGAACTTCAGTTAAAGCTGTGTTGATTCAAATCTTCTTTCTATGTTCTAGTTAGTAGTAGGCTTGGAAAAAAGGGGCCTTCTGAAGGTAAATCTCTCCATTATGTGAATTAGCATGATTTGCATGCTATTAAGTCTCATCCCTCTGTTGCTATGGCAATGGCAGTAAAGTTAGTGATAAAGAGCCTGAGGTTTACCATTAATTTTTCGTAAAAACTTCCCTAAAACATATCATATCCATGTGACATAGAGGTTGTTAAAGTTAACAGTGCTCTCAGGTTTATTCTTTGACCTTCTTCTTGGCCAGTAGGTTGCAGAAGCCAGTTTTCTGGGTGTGTCAAGTACTTTATAAATTCAGAGAAATTCGTAACTCAGAAGGATCTCTTTCAGAACATAATGTGGTAAGAATGATGGTAAGCCACTTGAGCTTTAAGACTTCTGTGCCATCCAATAAGTTCATGGCCCATCTACATCAGCTCCACTTCCTGCACCATTCTCATATCCCAGGATTTTCTTGGTTTCCCATGTATCTAGATTTGCTCAACAACTGAGCATTCAGAAGCAAAGAATCAGAAAGTTCTGAGAGAAGAAATGTTTTCACTTGTGAGTCCAAAATATTTGACCTCTTATGCTGAAAATACTACCCCCTAGTTCTAGACTCACCATTCAGGGGCAACATTTCCCAGCATCTAGCAATCAAATCCATTAATGAGATCACTTTTCATTTATCTGAACTGTAGGAAATATAGACCTGGGCCATATCACGTCAAATAGAACAATCATTTCCTCCGCTCACTACCATCCCAGGAAACGATCTTAATCTTTGTGGCATTTATTCAAAAGCAAGTATATTTTTCAGTCGGTAAAGAGACCAAAACTGTACGCTGTGTTCTGGACATATTGCTCTAAGACTTATTTTCTCTTATACTTCAATCCTTTTGTAATAAAAGCTAACATATCATTTGCTTCTGAATTGTTTGCTGTACCTGCATATTAACTTTATGATGTTTTTATAACAACACTCATCTCTCTGGATCGTACCATTTCCCAATGTCTCACCACTTTAAAAAAATCAGTTTTCTATTTTACTTGACAAATGCACCTTCACTGGCTTTTAGAAAGAGAAGTCCCACCTCAGCACTCTTTGTCCCTAATCTCATAAGTTCCACATCTTCAAGTATGCGTTCAAATTCATCTCAAAATTACTTATGAGTCAGCTTCCAAACACCTCTCCAAGCAGAGCGTTTAAGGTCCTAATAATAATTTCTCTTTATCTCCTGCTGGAACTTGTACCAATGATTTTGAATCTCTGATCTTTGGCTATTGCCTCATTCACAATTGACAAAAATAGAAATTTACTATCTACTCTATCAAAACATGGCACTTCTTGAAAACATCTATTAAGTCACCTTTTAAACCATTGTGTTTCAAAGAGGATAGACCTATTTCTTTTCAACCTCTCCTGATAGCTGAAATTCCTCATCGTTGGTGAGATCCTGGAAAACCTCTTTTGCTGTCTTTATAAGGCCATTTTTACTTCTTTCCTGATGTGCAATGTCTACAGTGCTCCAACTGATGCCTAATCAATTTATAAAATTCTAGAATGGTCTCTCTCCTTTTATGTTCTACTCCTCAATTTATAAACCCAACAAACCCAAATGTTTTTTTTTCAACCACTTTATCAGCCTTCTCTGCCACCTGTAAGGAATTATGTACAAGGAATATTAATCTTTCTGCTTGGTAATTTTTTTTTTTCAAAATTGTCTCTCTTATAGTGTGCTGCCTTTTCACATGCTTCCTAAAGCACATCTCCTTACATTTCTCCACATTGAATTCCCACATTCAAGATTCTGCCCTACTCATCATGGTCTACTGTGTTATTAAACTTTACACCATCCACAAACTGGATCATTCTACTCCCTAATCCCTACCTTGATTCATAGAATCCTACAGTGTGGATGTAGGCCATTCAGCCCATCAAGAGAACACCCAGCCTCCAAAAAGCTTCCCATTCAGATGCACCCCATCCCTGCATTTCCCATGGCTAATCTATCTAATTTGCACATCTTTGGACTGTAGGAGGAAACCCATGCAGACATGGGGAGAATGTATAAACTCCACACAGAATAGTCACCCAAGGGTGGAATTGAACCTGGGTCTCTGGAGCTGTGAAGCAGCAGTGCTAACCACTGAGCCATTGTGCCACCTGATTGTTTATTTAAAAAAATAAAGAGTAACAGAACCAAAAATAATTTGGGGAAATATCATTGCAAAGCATCTCCCAGTCTGAAAATACCTAACCACTTTTCTTCCGGTGTCTGAGCCAATTTTATATCCTTATCACCACTTTCCCTTTACTCCAAAGGCCTTTATCCTAACGAGCTCCTATGCAGCCCTTTGCCAAATGCCTTCTGAAAGCCCATAAATAAATCACCTACTGTACTTCCTTCATCAACCCTTTTTGTTATCTCATTAAACAGTGCATTCAAATTACTTAGACCCAAGTTACCTTTAAAAAATACATGTCTGTCTAAGTGAATGTCTACTTTCTTCCTAATAATGGTTCCCAATAACATGTTCACCACCAATGTTAGACAGACTTGAGTGTAGCTTCCTAGTTTATCCCTGTCCCCTCTGTTAAATAGTGACATAATATTGGCAATGCTCCAGTCCTCTGGCATTACTGCTGTATCCAGTGAGACTGAAAAGATTGTGACCAAAACCTTTGCTGTTTGTGTCTTGGCTTCTTCAGAAAACTAAGGAGCATTCCACCTGGACCAGAGACTGACTTAGTATGCAACTGGTACAATGACTCAACTTCACTGCTGAGTGACAACTGTTTCATTGGAGGGCTACATAATTCCACACACAACCACCAGCTTTTCCAGAAGTTAAAAAAACTGACTGAAATCTTGATGTCAATTGAGCTCTTGGGTACAATGCCATACCTTGTATCAGCTGGAAAGGAACTTCTTAATTCTTGATGTTGACATAGTTTATGACCAACAGGACAGAAATGTCAAGGTCAATGAAGCCTAGGAGGTGTTCATA